TTAAGCTTGGCTAATCGTGTTTGAATTAAAATTTTTATGTAACTCAATGTCATACTGCACATGTCAATGAGAAGACAATGTCCTTGCCTGCCCTCTGACTTCACTCACCAAGAGGCCTGAGGTTTGGCACTGTGCCGCCCATGTGCCTCTGAAGCCACGCTGACGGGAGGGGCAATGCCATCCATCAATGCAAACAGCATCCAACCAGCGCTCTTCACCGAGTGAGGCCGTGCTGGGCAGGCTGGCCCTCTTCATCAGTTAGTAAGCTCCTGGAGCAGATGCTCTGCCTTTCACCAGCAGACGATAAGCATGGGTCACTTAGTAGCCAGTGTCTATTTTCTAAGAGATTATCCTTTGTTGATCTAGCAGGAAGGTTCTGAATAGGATTCACAAGTGGGAAGAGGGGCTAGGAGGAAGAAAGGCAGAGGTAAGCAAAACTTGTTCTCTGACAGAAGCACACGATTTCATATATGGAAGGAAGAGGGGAGGAAAAGCCACAGCAGACAGCATATAACCTAAGCCCAAACTTCCTGCGTAAAATTAAGTTCCTTTAGCAGCATGAAAGTTTCCTTTTTTGTTCTTATGCAGAAGCACAATGCTTCCTTAGCAGGCACGTAAGCAGCTGACTAACCCACGCGGTCGTGCACATGACAGAAGGGGAAGACCTTCTAAGGGAAGCCGCTCCACTCCCCCACCCCGATTTCTTGTGCAGTCACGGAGCAGCCGGGCTGCGCAATCACCAATCACCTGTCTTCGTGTCGAAAATGGAGTGATCTCGGGCAGGCATGGCCGAGTGACGCGCTATGCCCCCCGCAATGCTGGCATTCAAATGGGTGCCAGCTGGCGTTCCACTGCTCTACTTCTGGTCCTGCTCGCTGCTCATGTGTCTGGGAGAGCAGCAGTGAACGGCACAAGTGCTCGGGGTGCTGCACCCACGTGGGAGCCTCCCAAGAAGTCCCCAGCTTTGACTCCGGCCCATCTGAGGTGTGCAGCAGGTGCAAGATCTCTGCATCTCCCTCCCTCTCGCTTTGCAATTCTGCCTTTCAAGTAGATAGAAAATCTTAAAAAAAAGAGTGGTAATTTAGGGCCAAAGTACCTCATCCAAGAAAACTGACATGTAGCTTAATCTTCCCTAAGGATATTCCTTGGAAAATGACGAAACAGACAAATTCTTCATAAGCCGGTTGGCCCTCCTGGACTGGGGAACTAGCTCCAACTGCAAGTTTAAAGGGCAGAGTACACAGCAATGCGTCTCCACTGAGGCTCTGAGTACCTGACCTGGGGACAAACCCAGACAGGGCTGGAAAGGTCAGTGTCACTACGACAGCGCTGTCAGGTCCCCTCCGTGGCTCCACTGGTCTTTGCCTCTCTCCTGGGCAGAACCTGACTTCCCGGAGTCACAGAAATGCAGAGTCCCAGGGCAGGCCCTTGGTGGGGAGTCAGGGTGCTCACCTCCCACACTGGAATCATGGGGTTCCTGTCCTGCTCTGCTCCAAACTCCAGCTTCCTGCCCAGGCACACTCGGGGAGCCAGCAGCTGGGGCTCTGACACCCAAGTGGGACCTAGGTTGAGCTCCCAGCCCCTGGCTTTGATTGGCTAGATACTAATAATAATAAGAGACAAAAAACAATTCAGATAGAAAAAACGACTAAAAAGAAGCAAAGACCAAATGTGATAAAAATATTGGGATTTATATAACATTGTAGAGGCAAGATTAATTCTTGTTACTGTCAAACCAAAACAGCCTGTTTCCAGCATTCTAAAACCATTTCATGGTATCTGTATTCAAATTCACTATGAATACAAAACCAGGTTTTTTTTTTTTTAAATAGACAACACTCCAATCCTTTCTTGATTATATGCATTTATCTGGAAGGATTTTTAGGCCTAAACCCATCTTCTTTCAATTTTTTTCTGGTCTTCTTGAACCTCTTTATTTTCAAGATCACTCTGAATTCTACTTCATATTCCCTGATGTTTCTAACTGCTCAGCTGCATTGCTGCTCCCGGAAAACACTCTCAAACCCATCAGCTCAGCGATGGCTTTTATTTACTTGTTTTTAAGGCTTATTTGTGTTCACTGTATGAAGAGACAGCGAGAGAGAGGGAGGGAGAGAGAGATAAGGAAAGGTGTGGGGGTAGAGAGGGAGATTGAGAGAGATGCATTTCCCATTTGTTGGTGCACTTCCCAAAGAGCTGGCCAGCTGAAGTGAAGAGCAGGAGCTCTTCTCACATTCTCCTGTGGGTGGCAGGAACCCATGAAGTTGGACTATCATTTCTTGTCTCCCAGCTCCACTGGAAAAAGGCTGGATTGCTTTTGTGCAGTAGCTGGGGCTTGAACCAGGACTATGCTGTGGGATGCAGGTGTACAAGCTCAACCCACTGTACCACGATGCCTGTCCCTCGACCTTAAAGAAAATAGTAAGGGGATGATATTGTGGCATACCACATTAAGTCAACGGATGCAGTGTAGCATCCCATATTGGTGCCGAGTTCTGGCTGATTCACTTTCAACCTGGCTCCCGGTTAAAGTGCCCCAGGAGCGGCAGCACAGGGCCCAGTGTTTAAGTGTTGGCACCCATGTCAGAGAACCGGAAGATGCTTATGGCTTCTAGCTTCATCCTGGCCCAGCCCAGCTGTTTGGGAGAGCGAACCAGTAGATAGAAGATCTCTCTCTCTCCTTTCTCTATAAATCTTTCACACAAATCAATGTTTAATATATACCATTATTCTTTGAGGGCAGAGAGACAGTATGTGACAGAGTCAACTGTCAAAGCTGACTGGGGCTGGGATGGGGCAGAAGCCAGTCCTCCCACACGAGTAGTGAGAATTACTGGATCAGTATCATTGTTTCCCAGGGTCTACTTCAGCAGGAAGCTAGACTCAGGGCTAGAGGTGGGTACTGAATGCAGACTCGACCATGGGATGGGAGTGTCTCCACCATTAGGTGAAAGGCCCACAACGCAAACAGCAAGGTAAGCTTTCATTGAATCTTAACGCCTGTACATTTTTATGGGGTACAGTACGTTTCTCCATGCTGTATATGACCAATACAGAGCCACGGTTCCCTTTCCTGGTCATCGACCGGTCTGCTCACAGAACACAGGATAGCTTATACTGAACCTACAGTCATCTCCTGGTGTTACGCAACATCAGCTCTTCTTCCTTCTATCTTTTCTGGTTCCCATTAGCCAACTTTTCTTTTGTTCCACTCTCACATGCTTCTCATTTGTCCACATTCAACAAGTCTTTTAGGAACACTGTTCCAGTGTTAGCAAAGCCTGGGAATACTATATTGACCTGTACCTTAAAAATAATAAGTATTTTCTTTATAACAGCAAGATAAATAACAAGAACAGTCTTAACAGGAGCAGGCTCCTAGCACCCAAGCCTAGAGATTCCCATTGGCTGAACAGAACCCAGTTAACTGCTTACCTCAGGGCGGGGGCAGCCTTGGTGGTGACTGGCTGTAGCTCATGGGCATGCAGAGCTTTAGGCAGAACCATCTTTCTCTTAATTGAGACAGAATTTAATGAAGTTACAGTTTCTTAGATCATCTAAGTAGAAACACAAAAACAGCAAGTTAAGAAGACACTTAGGCAAGTAGCTAACAGTGTGAAAGAAAAACGAGGGAAAATCAGGAAGCAAACAAAATAACCCAAAAAGCAAACCAGCCTGGGATACATTAAACAGATGGATGGAATCCTGTAGGTGGTTGAGCTGAGTACTGGCAGCAAACAAAAGATAGAATGAAAGAGTAATGGCAGGAATACTGCCCAAATTTACTGAAAAAAAAAAATCTATACATGCAGGAAGCTCAACTGCAAGGACAAACGCAGACACACGGTCACTCAATTCTATAAATGCTGGAAGTCAAAGACAAAGAGGAATGTTGAAATCAGCACAAAAATTAGTCACTTCCAAGGAACCCTTGGTAAGTTTGGCATCCAACTTTTCATCAGTCGGTGGAAGCCAGAGGCAGTGGAAAAAAACATATTCAACGTGCTCTAGGGAAAACAGGCAACCTGGAATCCCAGGCCAGCAGAGAGGCCTTGCAAAATGAAGGCAACTACTTTTCAAAGTGAACAAAAACTGGGAGAATTTGTTGCCAGCACCTACAATATTGCAGGAAGTTCCTTAGGTTGAAACCAAGGTAATACAAATCTACAGGAACAAGTTATATCGACAAACACAATCATGTAACTCTAAATGCTTGTTTTTCCTTAATTGAAAAAGCAACTGCACAGAATATAGTTGGGCTTGCAACAGATCTGCAATATCTTTTTTGCTAGTAATAGTATAAGTAAGGTGATAATAGCCATTAATAGCATAAATAAGCAAAGCTATAATGGACTAAGAAATCAAATAGAGCCGGTAGAGTAAAAATACTGCCGTGTTGGATCTGTAACATTTATAAATGTAGTAAGTACTGTGTACATAATACTTTAAGCCTTGGTACTTATGAGGGTAAGTTTCAGACATTGTATATTCATTCCATTTGCTAAAACAGAAGTTTTACACAATTCAGGGGCCGTCCGTTGCTAATTCTTATTGACCGCGAAAGGGCAGGCTAAAAATACATTAGAAGTTCCTTGTCCTTTATCTGTCCTTGGATGCAATAATCTTAGAAGTCAAGATTTATTTTATTTTCATTTGAAAGGCAGTAGTTAGAGAAGCAGAGACAGACAGATTTCTGTCTGCTGGTTCATTCGGCGAGCTGAGCAGATCCAAAGCTGGAAGCCTGGGGCTTCCTCTCCCATGTGGGGGCCATCCTCTGGGCAGAAGTGGAGCAGGTGCCCACAGGAGACGCTGGCGCCCTGGGCAGAGGCTTAGCACACTAGATCATGGAACTGGCCCCGTGAACTCATTGCATCACAGACAACACGCAGGGCAAGCTCAGAAAACTCTCCAAAGTGATGAACCAAGATCACTAGGAATTGTTTTCCCTCCTGGTGAGGTGCTGGGAAGTGTGCAAGAAGGCAAACAAACAGAGTCGAGTGTTATATTTGTTGCTTTACTGTTAATTTGACACATCTGAACCAAAGCATTCACAATACTTGATATACTTTGAAGAAATCATATACTATAGTCTTAGACATAACCACAGAACAAGCAGAACAATTATAATTACGTAAGGCCGTAAAATATATCCACAGTGTGTAATAGTTCAATGTTCATTCATTTACAAATTAGACTACATACCGTTATTTTTATTTTTATTTTTCTTTCACTGTTTTAGTCAGGCAGAATTCATTCAAGGGAAGGCAACTTAGTTTTGGTATGTGAGCTTTATTTTTTACTATACTGGTTAATATAAAAGTTATGAATTAAATGTTTTCTTATCTCCTTTTTATCTAAGAGTGAATCCATGGTCATTCAAAGCAGCAGGTCCTATTCTTAAAAACAGCCAGAGTGAAAAGGCATCAAACAGTCAGGCTTTGGCTTGAAGAGTGACAAATGGGCCTCCCGGTTTTCACATCACGGACGCACTAAAACCCTACAGCATCAGTTAAAATTGAAACCAACATTGCATACAAAATCATTCAAGATCTAAATGAGAATGGTAGTTGCCTCACAGTACCAAACTTAGCAATCAAAACTAGTGAAGGTTCGGTGCTATCTTGACTTCTCATTTACAAGCTAACGAGCTGGTAAATTAACAGATGGGATCAAATTAAGACTTACATCATTTTTTCTCAAAGGATAAATGTATGATAACCAGAGAATACAGAAAATCGAACGTATTTTACAATAAAATAACCATTTATAACTACCCCTGTACAACAGGGTTTAGGTCAACTCTAACTTGAATGTTTTCATTTCTTTCTATATTCTATTCTGAGTACTTGAATTACTTGATATACATTTTTTTTTCTGGAAAGAATATTACACATATATATACCAGGATAAGATTTAGCACATTGAGATGTCTTAAAAATACTTATAAATTTTTTGATATGCAAAAGCATTTGGCAATACTTTTACAGCATTTGATTTTATAGAATTAATTAAAATTTCATACAGTACTTATCTTGATGTTTAAAAAAAATTCACAGAAAAAATATAAATTATAGCCCGACTGCATGATATTGTTATTCCAGTTTCTAGTTTTGGTAATTAAAACCTTCATTAAGTCTGTTAACAAATCATTACCTGTACATTTATAAAGGCAGCTGATATGATTTGCAAACAAAACCTTCAGGTTTTATGTTATTTACCAAACAGTGCAGTTCAGCAAGAAAAGAAACATCAGTATGCAAATGTACAGAGCATCTTACAAATTGACCAGTTCCTGTGACACAAACTGTTTCAACCTTTCAAGGTACTGTCCGTAGAGTTCCACATCGTTGTGGCCTGCGCCTTCGACCCAGAGCGGCTCCACGGGCCTCTGGCAGCGCTCAAACAGGGCCAGGCCGTGGGAGAAGTCGATGACCTCGTCCTCCGTCCCGTGGATTATGAGCACTGGAGAGGTGATCTGAGAGATCTTGTCAATGCTGCAGGGTGAGCCGAAGGAGAGAGCAATCAACACTCGGCTTACACAAAGACACGCAAACCTACTGTGCTGTCCTGGGCACAAAACTAAAATAGAACCACCTAAATCCGCTTAGAAAGGAAGGCTGTCTGGGACCCTGCGCCCATGTGGGAGACCCGGAGGAGGTTCCGGCGCCTGGCTTCCGATCAGCTCAGCTCCAATCGTTGTGGCCACTTTGGGAGTGAACCAGTGAATGTAAGATTTTTCTCTGTCTCTGCTTCTCTGTAAATCTGACTTTCCAGTAAAAATAAATACATCTTAAAAGGAGAAGAAGTAGATGAAGAAGGCCGTCTTTTGGATTCTGAGCAAGTTCTGCAGTTACGACTGTCTAGAACGTTCCCCAGTGAGTTGTCATTATGTCTAGAATGTTCCCTAGTGAAGTTCTGAGGTTACATCTAGAGCGTCCCCTAGTAAGTTCTGTCGTTATGACAGTCTAGAATGTTCCCTTTGGGCACTCCTGTTTGGGACGTGCACTCAGTGCCACATGCCCCTTTCAGCATGCTGACACAGCACAGAGAACACAGGCTTCGCACAAGGTCAAGTCTGTGCTGACTTCATCACTTTCTATTCTCCCTTTTCATCTTTTCAAGTAGGTTGAAACCAACCTGCAAAATCAATACGATTTACTCCAAGGTGGCCAGGGAATTCTGTGAGGAAGCAGGCTGGTGGCTCACACACATGAGATCTGTTCTAAGTGTTTTTGATAACCACCCTGAGGCTGGCATGATGGCCCAGTCAGCTAACCTTCTGCTCGAGGGCAGATGTCCCATATGGGCGCTGGTTCATGCTATGTTCTGCTCTCCACCAAACTCTTTGCTTACAACTTAGGAAAGCAGTGGAGGATGGCTCGTAGCTCCTGGCTTCACATTGTCTCAGTTTCAGGGGTTGCGGCCATCTGGGGAGTGAACCAGTGGATGGAAAATCTTTCTGTCTCCTCTTTTCTCTGTAATTTTGCTTCCAGTAGAATTAAATAAATCTTAAAACACAACACAAAACAAAACAACACGCCACTCTGGCACATGCAGTCTCTTTACTGTAGCTTAGTAACTGCCTTACCCCAGGGTGGGAGTTCTTTAGATGCAGATAGGATCAGCAGAGATGAGGGAGACACACTGTGAGCAATAGTAAAACATCTGACCTACTCAGTGACCAGGAAGCTGGCAGGTAAGCCCCACCCTCCTCAATGCAGGGTTGTACAAAGTTTTTAGTTTTCCACTCTAACAGAACATAGATCTGAGTCGACAGCCAAAAATTATTATCAGAGAAGAAATAAAAAATGCAGATCAAAACATTCTTAGAATTATTTTTTACTTATATTGAAGGCAGACAAAAGGACACTGGTTCATTTGTGAAATGCCAGCAATGTCAAATCTGTTAGGTGGAACCTCCATCGAGGCCTCCCAGGTCTGCCTCAGCAGGAAGGTGCCCGGGGACCCGAGCCAGTGCATCACCGTGGGGGTCCCGCCCAAGCTAAGCCTACGAGCATAGTCTTCAGGAAGACTCGGAGGGGACAGAAACTACCCAAACAAGTAACAGCAAACAACAATTATATATACACATTAAAAATCCTTAGAGTTAGGACATTATAAGCACAAAATAAGAATGAAATCTTGAAGATCTGTGTTTGGTTATTAGACAAAACGCTGCACAGCATTCTCTGTTGGAACTGAAAATGGCCACTGTACCTAATGCAAAAATAAAGCCACAGCCAATTCCAGCAATACAATCATATGCTGCCTTCTGTACGCTTCCCTAAACTTCCCCATTTGATGAAACACATTCTTTTTTTACAATTACCACAGGTTGGGAGCAGCTGCCAAGGCAGAGCTGAGGCTGCTTACAGCCCTGCCCGCACGGTCCAACGCAGACTTCCATGGAGCGGCAAACGCTGCCTCCACGGTTTCACTCTTAGTGCCCATTCTGGCTACAGGACACAGCATGCCGAGGCCTGTGATAACTTCCGTGTGCCACAACGTCACTCCAAGGAACGCTGAGCACTCCCCGCCCCGGCCTCCGCACCTGTCCTCAGCACCTTGGGCAGCTCAGCTCTCTCCTGAGCGTGCTCACACTCCCTCGGTGGGCATTGTTATTTGGCATAGAAATAAATCTTAGTTCCCTGCTGAGCTTTACCCACATTGTGTCCTTGAAGTTCTTCTTGTATCGGAGACAAGGACTTGAACCCATACATCCCACAACAGAATTCTTGCTGTTCTTACAAAGAACCAAGCTGGCTTTTGGCCTGTCATTCACACAAAAAAATCTTTGTGCCCTTGCCAACTAGGGAAAGGAGGGACTGAAGGAAAAAGGTCACCCCGCTCCTTCAGGAGAGCGCAGGGCTTCCTGCCATCTGGAGGGAACGAACGGGCAGCAGCGGCCTTCTTGTGAACCCGCCCAACACTGTGCCCGCAGACTTTACAGTGACAATACACTGCACGGATCCGCGGTGAGAAGGCAGGAGGCAGACGTGATTCGGGATTTTCTGTTCTTCTCTCCCTCACTGAACGTGCTCACCATCCGTCAGCAGCCCCAGGCCCACCTGGGAGTCATGCTCAAGTTCTTCCTGGCACCCAACATCCAGTCTGACGCTCGGGTTTGCCAGTTTTATTTCTCAAGCTAATCTCTTTGTTTCTGATGTTACTTTTACCGCCGGTGGTACTAGCTCTTGGTGCTTGGCATCTGCATGACTTTTGCACAAAGATTTCAGCCTCTTGATTGCTCACCTGCCAACACCTTCTTCAACTTAAGCTTTTCATAATTTCTACATGAGAATATAATGCAAACTCATGGCTCAGGGAACAGTACTCAAAATGCCTTAAGTGATAGAAAAAAGACTCTGCTATTAAGTTGCTTTGAATAATGCTACTTACTTTGGGAATGCATCGAAACAGTACGTCTTCTTGGTGTCAGGAAAAGCGACGCGCATCCCTGAGGTCAAGGGCGAGTGAAGGATGACAGCCGCACTCTCATAGCGAGCGGCCAGGTCCACGGACGGCACGGTCCCTATGCTCTGGCCGTAGATGATCACATTCTCAGGGCGAATGCCGTACCTGCAGAATCCACAAGGCAAGACACAACTGGGCAGGCAGGCAATGTGGCATCATCCCTAAAGACTGCGTCTTAGAATGAATTAGTACAGTATCAATGCATGTATAAGAATTTGTTTCTGAATTATCATCATTTTCAATGCTACAATATGATTTGTTTTCAACTTTTTAAAAAATCTTTTTCATCTTATAGAAAAATAGTTGCTCAGGTCTTCTAAAACACTGTTTTTTAAAAAGACTTATGCATTTGAAAAAGAGTTATGGAGATTTACAGAGAGAGAGAAGAAAGGGAGAGAGAGAGAGAATAAAGGGAGAGAACTCTTCCATCTGCTGAAAGATCCCAATGGCAGCAACAGCTAAAACGGGACCAGGAGCCAGGAGCCGCCCCTGGATCTCCCCTGTGGACACAGGACCAGCCCACGCCTGGAGCCAGGAGCTGCCCCTGGATCTCCCCTGTGGATGCAGGGCCAGACCAGGCCAGGAGCCAGGAGCCCTCTCTGGATCTCCCCTGTGGATGCAAGACCAGCCCACACCAGGAGCCAGCAGCCGCCTCTGGGTCTCCCCTGTGGATGCAGAGGCCTACGGATTTGGACCATTCTCCATTGTTTTCTCAGGTGCATTAGCAGGAAGCTGGACTGGAGGTGGAGCAGCTGGGACTGGAACTGGAGACCATGTAGAACGCAGGCACTGCAGGCAGCAGCTTAACCTCACTACACTTCAATGCCAGTCCCAGAAATTTCAATCTGAAGAGATAAATTTATTAAGTGATTTGTTATGTATAGTAATTCAATTTAACATATTATTGAATAAACCTGAAACATATTATATTACTAAGTTCAAAATTTACTTATAGATTTCAAAGAGATGGAGGGAGAGAAGAGGGAATAAGCTGCGGGAGACAGAGAAACAAAGAGAGGAGTATATGGACCACCACCCATCTGCTGCTTCACTTCTCAAACATATCTACTGTCTAAAGTTTTTGCCTTGCATGTGACAGGATCCCATATGGGCGCTGGTTTGTGTCCTGGCTGCTCTCTTCCCATCCAGCTCCCTGCTTGTGGCCAGGGAAAGCAGTCGAAGATGGCCTCAAAGCTTTGGGACCCTGCACCCCTGTGGGTGACCTGAAGGAGGCTCCTGGCTTTGGATCTACTCAGCTCCATTGCAGCCACCTGGGGACTGAACCAACAGATGGAAGATCTTTCTCTCTGTCTCTCCTCTCTGTAAATCTGACTTCCCAGTAAAAAAATAGTCTTTTTTTTTTTAAGGGTCAACATAGAACAGTAAGGGCTGGGCTAGGTAATCAAGCAGGTAGATGGCCGTTTCCACACTCCTTGGGCCAGCACCTGCTACCTGCTAAGGTGAACATTAACAAGCCACAGGCAGAACCACTGAGAATGGCAACCAGGTACAGAAAGACGGCATGTGGATGACCCAAGCTGCAATTTAACCAATGCATCACATACTTGTCCCAACCTTTTTTATTTTAAAAAGTCAAACTGTACAGAATTCATAGAAATGAAATTTGCAGAATGGAAATTACAGCATCAGAACAACTCTTTGGACTGCGTGACGGCTGCTGGAATAGTACTCTGCTGGTGGCGACCATAGGACGCGGGGAGGGAGGCAGGACTCTAGGTGAGCAGAGGACTCAAAGCAGTAACAATTCAAAACAGACTTAGTCAGAAAGGACTTTAGACATCATCTAATCTAGTACACGTTCAAAGTCACATATAATTAGAACCTAGCCATACTGTCTCCTAGTCCAGTATTTTCTCCATTATAGAACACAGATAACGAACTCGGGGACTGTGGGAGAAGGCTGGAGAGTGAACATGGCGGACGTGTTATTTTCTGAGAACCTGGGGCAGGCCATCCAGTATAATGGTTTAGGTGGCACCTCGGGATGCTCGCAGAGAACTAGTGCCAGCCAGTCTGTCCCTGACTCCTGCTTCGTTGGCATGAGTGTCCTGGGAGGCAGCACATGATGGCACGGGCCTGTGAGTGTCTGCCATCCATGCAGAGGTCTGCATGGAGCCAGGGGGTGTGGCTAGCCCTGGCACAGACCTGGCTGTTGTAGGCACTAGGAAATGAATGGGTGGATCAAAGATCTGTTTCTTTGTCTTTCAAATAAAATGCAAAACTTAATATTTTTTAAATGACTCAAACTGAATTTATTAGAGATAGTCAATTTTCCTACAAGATAGATCATTCAAATAGAGTTACCGCCCTTTCTTATTCTGAAGTCCTAACTTTTATTAGGCAAATGAAGTAAAAGGCACGTTCTAGCTGCACATATTTTATATGACAATGTAACTGCAGAACTGGGCGGGACTTTGGAGATCATTTAATCCAATCTCCTTATGGAGACAAAGGCTCAGAGAAGGCAGTGAGTCCCACTGGCTGTCTAGGCCTCCACGGGCTGGGTCTACTGTGACAGAAGGCAGGTCTGCAGGCCTAGGCTTCCACGGGCTGGGTCTACTGTGACAGAAGACAGGTTGACAGCCCTAGGCCTCCACGGGCTGGGTCTACTATGACCTAGGACTAAGATTAGGGACCCATCTATTCTGCTTTGCTTCTCCTCTGCTACAGGTCATCAAATGTGGTTAAAATGATTTAGGACAGTTTCCTGAAAACTGAGATCTGATGAGACAAACATGCAAGTAGCAAAACTGACAAGGGAAGATTATTTTTCAGACATAGAACATGGAATTGATCATATTATTTGAACAGTTACACTTCTGTGCTGTTAGAAGCACTAACTACAAGCCATTTTATCTTAGCACCCCTTGAAATCAGATTATTTTATTATCCTAATAAAGCAATTTGACAATATTTCAAGTTTAGCAGCCTAAAATATAAAGTAAATAAGATACATTAAAAACAATCCCAGTAAAGTATATTTAAGCTGTACCTACCAAGAAACAATTACATAAAAATACAAAACAATCACATACAATGCTTATTTTAAAATCAATCCAGGCTCTTAAACGATTAGTGACCAAATGAATGGTTTCTGCTTCACCTCACTCTTTTGAAACCTTCCAACTTTGAGTAAACCTTTACACATCCCCAGTAATAAGAAAGTTATAAAATTATTTGCCACTGCTTTAAGGTTAGGAAAACATGCATATACACATGCACTGACATAGAAGCAGAAACATGTACTGTCTTATCTACCACGTATGAACTCAAAAAATATAAACTAAAAGCTTTACTATTCTTAAGTATGCATATTTTGGCAGATATAATTTCTATGTAGCAGGTTAAAGCCTATGTAAAGCCAAGCAGCTTTCACTGTATTCTGACACAGGGTGATTTTAAGCCAGCATGATTTACCTTGTCCTGAGCGCCAGCCAAGCAGCCTCGATGTCCGCGTAGAGGTTCTTCTCTGTCGGCTTTCCCGAGCTCGCGCCGTACCCAGAGTAATCGTAGGAGAAGATGTTACAATTAATCCGTGACCCCAGGCCTATGTAAAAGCTGCTCATCTGGCCCAGGTCCACAGCATTGCCATGCGAGAAGAGCAAGGTGTATTTGGCACTGGGTGAACAACGCACAAACATGCAGGCGATTCTGTTGCCTTTACTGGTTCTAGTCATGAAACACTCAATAGCATCTTTTTCCCTGGAGGAGTACTGCCAGTCTGCTCGCTCAGAGAGGTGTAAGGTCCAGCGGCTCCCACTTTCATCGCACATCAGTGTGTAAGTCGGATCAGGTGGTAAAAACGCTAACTTGGAAGCGATTTTCCCTGGGCAAGGTGGACAGCAGAAGAGGCAACACAGTTCACTAAATGAAAGATTATTCATCTTCTGGAAAACAAAAGGAGACAGTGAAAGTTTTGATAGCTGAAGGTGGATTCTGTTCGCACACAACATAAACAAAGACATGGCCAATGTCCACTGTTATCTTAAATACCTTCTCAAACAGATTTCAGGTGTCTTTTTACAAATACGTCAAACCTGGGTAAGGCAAAATATTCCAAATGAGTATACAAATTCAAATAGTCCATGACACACTTCAAACAGCACTGCATTGTTATTTCATTTAGCAAACAATTCTGCTTCCCTTTCCTGACCCGCAGCACTCATGACGGGGACCCGCTGCAGCCAGCACTCTGAAAGCCAACCCAGTCTCCTGCTGCCAGTGACCCCCTCGCCAGGCTCTCGGCAGCAAGGAGCCAGGTTAGAGGGGGAAGTGGGATTTGAACACAGACATTCCAATACGGGATGCTGAGTTTTCAGCTGGTTTAACCTTTGCACAGATCCTCTATATCAAATTATCTTTAATGTAGTTTGCAGTTTCTGCACAACTCCATGAAAATATTCCTAATGCCATGGAGAAGCCAGGGCCTGTCTTCCAAAGCACTGGGCACAATGCTCACATACACTACCTGCCCAATCCTCAAAACAACTCTGCAAGTCAACTTGAACAGAAACTCATACAGACGAGGCAGTGGTAGACGCAGGATACGACCCTAACTCAGCCACTGCAGGCCGTCAGCTGGCTCTGCTGGCTCAACGGCCGCCCGGAGCGCTGGCTCGGCCGGGGGAGCCAGGAGCCAGGGACTCCGGTGCGTGAGCCAGCATTTGCTGCTTCTCAGGTGTATCAGCAGGCAGCTTGAGGAGAGTGGGGAGCAGCTCACATCTGGACTTCTACTTGGTGTGGCTATCCCCAGAAAATGCTTCAACTGCTGCATCATAAAGCCCATCCCCCAAACACCTCTGAATTCCATTTTCTACAGTCCTTTTGCTGTACCCTCACAGAACTGCTCAGTAGCCTGTCACCACTGAAGCAAGAGGAATTAAGTTCATCTAGTAGTTTCTGAGGACCCACGAGGGTCCACTGCTACCCTAGGACCCAGCATGTAACTAGCATATTATGTTTACCAAAAGACACCGCATGTGAAATCACATTATGATCTTGAAAAAGTCCTACCAAAGGGCAGCATTTGGTGAATACAGAAGCTGAACATTCACTTTGTTTGGCAAAACATTCTTTTTCAGTTTTTAAAGACAGAACATCCAAAATGCTTGAGGTCATGGGCATGAAATCCAGGTGACTTTGTCAGAAAAATTCATCTCTGCTGGAAATCATACATTGGGCTCTGTTAAAATGAAACCCACACTTAGGGACAAGTGCAGTCTAGAACCTTCCATACCAGTTTTACAGCTAGAGCTCTTTCCTTCCCTGCACTCTGCCAGAGCACACAGAGCTAAAGGAGACTAGAAGGCTTGTTTGTTTGAAAGACTGACTGATGTATTTGAAACTCTGAGTTATAAAGACAGCTTCCACCCGCAGGTCCGCTCCTCAACCAACAGCCACAGTTGTGCTAGGCAGCACAGAGCAGCCTGGCACTTGGCACTTCACCTGGCCTCCTATGTGGCTGCCAGGAGCACAGTACTTGTGCTAACTCCTACTGTTTTCTGGTGAGCAGCAGGGCAGGCTGTTGTCTTCGTGTGTACCAAAACCAGATTCCCACAAAGCTTTTGGCTCCTGGAAAGCGCACTTGAGCTCCGTGTGTTTAGCTCCACCCCTCCACGCTGCTGAGCACAAGCCAACGACACACGCGTCCTTCCACGAACTCATCATCAGTCACTCCCACGCCCCAGTTCATACAACACTATTCTACCACCTCGGCCTAGACACACTCCACACAGAAACGTAGGACTCTCATTCATAAAGACGGCACGTTCCTGGGGAACCTCACAGGTTCCAATATGTCCAATTGATAATCTCACGGGTTATCAACATGTGCCATCCTGTAGAGCAATCGCCACCTACAGCAGTGTATAATCAAAGTAATCTGGGTTACAGAGAATTTGTGGATTACAGATGATGAGCACAGTCTTTATTATTGGTACCCAGCAATCTGGATTTATGAGTCATAAAAAGACCATGAAACTATTAGTCAAAATTCAGACATTTCTTTGAGTAGCAAATTTAAAAAACTATTCAAATAGGGCCCGGCGCGGTGGCACAGTGGTTAAGGTCCTCGCCTTGCACGCCCAGGATCCCATATGGGCGCCAGTTCTAATCCCGGCAGCCCCGCTTCCCTTCCAGCTCCCTGCCTGTGGCCCGGGAAAGCAGTTGAGAACGGCCCAAAGCTTTGGGAACCTGTACCCGCGTGGGAGACCCGGAAGAGGCTCCTGGCTTCGGATCAGCATAGCATCGACCGTTGCGCTCACTTGGGGAGTGAATCATCGGATGGAAGATCTTCCTCTCTGTCTCTCCTCTCTGTATATCCGCCTTTCCAATAAAAAAAAAAAAAAACTATTCAAATAAATGTAAAATTAAGCCAAACAAAAAGATTTTTTTTTTTATCAAATAATCGCAATGCTTTTTGTTCTTAGGCAATTGAACTAGTTGTAAACCATACACAATTGGCTACCTTTAGTATCTTTGGTACTGTGCGACAATCCAATGGGCAGTGCTCACAGTAAGGCTACAATTCACCATGACGCAACCAGCCATCATCAACGAGCAGCAGCCGGTGGGCGAGCTCTGGGTATGTGCCACTGGAACTCTGCCCCAAATGCCTAGGGAGAGCTTTAGGGAGCGCCTTCTACTCTCTTCTGGAGCTCTGCACAACCATCAGCCTCTTGGCTACGTACAGCTTGAAAGTCCTATCCCCTATCTAGCAGCAATACACCAACAGCAGCGTTGCACTCATGGTTTCACAGGTGGCCATCAGGTAGGTTTTCTGATCTGAAAATCATGAAATTATAAACCCTTAAGATCTGTGACTAGACCAGTACTGCCATGCCCAAGGCCTGTGTCCCAGCCAAATGTGGACATGTCTAGTATCAATTTCCTGTCTCAAGATTCTTATCGCCACTTATAGAATATCAGTGTGGGGAAGCTCAGCTCCACCCAGCTTAATCAAGGGACAACGTAGCAGGCATTCTCAGTGTCACTCCTCCTGCCTCTTAGTACCTTTGAGTCTGGGATAACTGAAATTGAAGCTGGAGGCAGCCGAAGCAGGATATAATCCCTGACAGATCTCTGTGGTGCAGAAAGTCACGTCACCTTTCTTTGTACAGTTAGGGCAAGCTGAAGACCAGACGGAATCCCTCAGCCATGTGACTATCCTCATGCTTAATGAAATGTCTCTTACGAGCATTCTCTGCTCCAAGCAGCTCAGGATCACACTGCCCATCACTCTCAGATCTGACTTTTGAAACACTTATCTGAACGATTCCCAACTAGGTACTATTTAATCAACTCCCTGCAGAATTGGTTAATAGTCTGGAAATGAGCGACAGCAGTAGCTCTGACCAGGAAACCTTGTGACTGACGCCTGCAGCTTATCGCTCCCATTGCTTGCCTGGTTGAGAGCAGCTGCAGCACCTCAGGCTCTAGGCAGGCAGCCGAGGAACACGAGCTCTCACCAAAAAAAAAAAAAAAAAAGGACTTCTTTGGAAGGCAGAGGGACAGAAGCGATCTTCCAGCTGCTGGTTCTCTCCCCAGATGGCTTCACCAAGTGTGGCTGGGTCAGGCTGGGTCAGAAGTGTGCAATGCTCTCAGCTGGCTAATCTTTGGCTGATGGTGCTAGTAGCACCCATGTGTGCTGGTTCGTGTCCCAGCTGCTCCACTTCCCATCCAGCTCCCTGCTTGTGGCCTGGGAGAGCAGTGGAGGACGGCCCAAAGCCTTGGGACCCTGCACCCGAGTGGGAGACCTGGAAGAAGTTCCTGGCTCCTGGCTTTGGATTGGCTCAGTTCAGCCCAGTATGGCCAACTGGAAAGTGAACCAGTCGAGAGAAGAACTTTCTCTTAGTCTCTTCTTTTCTCTCCAAACCTGCTCTTCCAATAACAACAAATTAATCTTCTTTTCTTTTTTTTTTTTTCTTCCTCCAGAACACAAGGACAGACCTTCATAAGTACACAGGACTAAGCTACCTCTCATCTTCTTAAAGGTAAATGACAGGAAAAGAAACCAGGATAGGGCCCGGCGCGGTGGCGCAAGTGGTTAAAGGTCCTCGCCTTGCACGCCCGGGATCCCATATGGGCGCCGGTTCTAATCCCGGCAGCCCCGCTTCCCTTCCAGCTCCCTGCCTGTGGCCTGGGAAAGCAGTCGAGGACGGCCCGAAGCTTTGGGAACCTGCACCCGCGTGGGAGACCCGGAAGAGGCTCCTGGCTTCGGATCAGCATAGCATCGACCGTTGCTCTCACTTGGGGAGTGAATCATCGGACGGAAGATCTTCCTCTCTGTCTCTCCTCTCTGTACATCCGCCTTTCCAATAAAAAAAATAATAAAAGTAAATCTTTTAAAAAAAAAAAGAAAAAAGAAACCAGGATAAAAGAAAAGTTGGTCAAATTCTAGTTTTTTGTTATAAAAAAGGTTAAGAATGTTTGGCAATGTTTACCTGATGGCTTCCAGAAAGCAGCAGGATGCAGTAAGGAAGCCCTGCCGCTGGTACGCCTGCTCCCAATGACCCCAAAACCATTCCGTTGATGCACCTGCTCCCAATGACCCCAAAACCATTCCGTTGATGCACCTGCTTCAAATGACCCCAAACCCATTCCACTGGTGCACCTGCTTCAAATGACCCCAAACCCCTTCCGTAGGTGCGCCTGCTTCAAATGACCCCAAACCCCTCCCGTTGGTGCGCCTGCTTCAAATGACCCCAAACCCCTCCCGTTGGTGCACCTGCTTCAAATGACCCCAAACCCCTCCCGTTGGTGCGCCTGCTTCAAATGACCCCAAACCCCTCCCGTAGGTGCGCCTGCTTCAAATGACCCCAAACCCCTCCCGTTGGTGCGCCTGCTTCAAATGACCCCAAACCCATTCCACTGGTGCGCCTGCTTCAAA